TGGCCACTTGCCACCGTCACCTGTCACCGCTGCCTCCAGTTATAGAGACGGCTCCGACAAAAGGAGCAGTGACGGTTCTGCCCCAGCAGAGGCGATGACGCCCGGACTAGCAGAAGTTCGGAAATACTCATTCCCGACCTGACAGGAGTCTAGGAGTGAGTGCACGAGGTGGTTATAAAAGGCGCTCCACCCCCAAAGAGGAGGTATGCAAACTTTGCGCTATCTGGTTTATCTTGCCTTTGAAAGATTCTAACTTAAGCTTCGGAGCCTTTACACCGGGTTCTCCCCGGAGCTTCTTCATCTCCTCCGTTTCATGTCCCCGCTACTCGATTCAGAGGCAAGGTCATTAACAGCTAAGACCGGCTGGATTGCGCATCATCAAGTGCTATGCAACATCTCCCAAAGGGATGGTAACCTCCTAAGAAGCTCTTGCCATTGATGGGTTAGACCTTTGGGACAAGCTCTGAACAGTGCATCAAGCTTATTGAGAGTTTGATTCAAGTACTCCTATTTGACAATGACCTGGAGAAAAACTATCCAAGTAGGCTCTCAACTCGATGACGACCTCCAAAGAATACAACACACTGTTCAGTAGTTCTATGAAGTAGCTCCCAAGGGAAATTAGCTCCAATGCCTTTGCTTGGCCTATTGTAGAAATGCCTGGGATCAACTCCTAGATCATAACCTATCAACTCAATGTCGACCCACACTAGCAAGTTGTGCAGTGAAAGAAGTTGAGCTTCACCCCAGAGAAGTGATAGATAATAAACAAGGAACTAGACAAACTCTTCGCAACTAATTTCATTAGAGAAGTGACCTACTTGGACTAGTTGATGAACATGGTGATGGTGAAGATGGCCAACAAGAAGTGAAGGATCTACATTGACTTCATTGGCCTTAACAAGGCCTACCCCAAGGATCACTTCTCTCTATCAAGGATAGACTAACTCATTAAAGCCACCTTGGGACATGAGCTATTCATCTTCATGAACACTTTATTAGGTTACAACCAAATCTAGATACACTCCTCAGACCAAGAGAAGATTGCCTTCATCACAACCAAACACTATACTACTACAAGGTCATACCCTTTAGCCTAAATAATGCCAATGCAATATACCAAGGCTAATGAACATGGTATTCAAAGGCTAAACCAGATGAAATATTGAATCTTATGTGGATGATATGTTGGTAAAAAGCTTTAAAGTTGAGCACCATTTAACTAACCTATGATTTACGGTGACTCAAAGGGGGATTGAGGCCAACCTAGAAAAAATCTAAGCCATCAGAGATAAGCCATCTCCAAGGTACATTAAGGACGTGCATCGCCTTATAGGTTAGATCACCACACTTAACAGGGTTTATGTCCAAGTTCACTAACCGCTACCTCCCTTTCTTCAAGGCACTCAAGAAGATGATGGATTTTGTAGTGGACCAAGGAGTGTAAATAGGCCTTTTAGTAGCTCAAACAGTACCTCTACTCGTTGCCCTACTAACCATGCCGATCCTTGATGATTAGCTATTCTTATACCTCTTGGCTGACGATGAAGTAATCAATTCGGTCTTCGTCAAGGAAGAACATGGTGTACAAAAGCCAATTTACTTCATCAACAAGGTGTTGTTGGATGTAGAGAATAGAGACCCAAACCTAGAAAAGGTTGCCTTAGCCCTTGTGACCTCAACATGCAAGCTCGAACCTTACTTCCAAGCATACAACATTCACGCCCTCACCGATCAACCTCTCAGGTAGGTGTTATAGAAGCTTGAGACTTCAAGACGATTGATTAGGTGAAGTTTAGAGCTCGATGAGTTTGACATCAAGTACACACCTTGGTTGGCGATCACACCACTAGATCAATGGTAAGTTTAAAGCATGGAATCCCACCATGGTGAGATATCTATAGAAAGTGAAAGAGCTCATCTCCAAGCTGTAACAATCCACCATTCAACAAATACTATGATTCGAGAACCTCCAAGCTGACACCTTGTCTTGATTACCCAACTTGTCCAACTCCAACCTCAAGGGCTCTATCCGTGTTGATACTCTCTTCCAACCTAGCATTGCCGAAGTAATACTACTTGCCTTGCTCGTCTATTCACAACCAACTTGGAAAGATCCAATCTTCCACTATTTACATGATCGCATCCTCCCAGAAGAATGAGCCGAGGCTAGGAAGATTGTACACAAGGCAACTTGATACTACATCATCCAAGGGAACCTATACAGGGTTTCACACCTTGCCTTATTTGAAATGCCTCAATCCCAATGAAGCAGACTACATGCTTTATGAAATCCATGAGGGAATCTGCGGCAACCACCTTAGAGTCAAACCATGAAGCAAGATGTTGTATGAATAGTTCAAAAGTGTGAACATTGTTAAGGCATTCAAATATACCTCATCACCCTGTGATCTCCTAACACTGATCAGTGGTCCATGACCCTTTACCTAATGAGGAATCAACATCCACAATGCATTTCCTTTTGTAGTTGGTTAAAAGAAGTTTCTCATTGTCTCCATCAACTATTTCAAAATGGGTGGAAGCCGGATCCTTGGCACAGATGACAACCAAGAATTCCCAAGGATTCCTCTATAGGTCTATTGTCTTCATTTTTAAATAATGATACCTAGTTCACAGATGGGAAGTTCAAGGGATTCTGCAAGGAGCTTGGTATAGAATAACTATTTACAGTTGTCCACTACCCACAAAGCAATGGTCAAACCAAAGTTACAAACTACACCTTCTTGCATGGGCTCAAAGTGTGCTTGGGCTGAGCCAAAGGAAGATGGGTCCAAGAGCTCAAAAGTCTACTTTGGGAATACCGCACTACCATTAGGACAACTATGGGAGAGACCCCTTTCAATTTGAGTTTTGGCACATAGAAAATAATCCCAATGGAGATTGGTGCTCTCACACTTTGGACCAAGCACTATGATGAGGTAGCAAATGGTGAAGGACTCTAAGCTAACCTAAACCTCTTGAAGGAAACTAGAAACCGACCTCAAATTAGAATGACTGTTTACTAACAAAGAGTGGCCAAGTACTATAATGCTTGGGTTTGTAGCAAGCAGTTTTGAGTGAGAAACCTCGTGCTGAGAAAAACCATAGTACTTGAGCCCAATGTCAAAAATGTAGGACCAAATTGGGAGGATCCGTATAAAATCACTAAGGTACTGGCACCAAGCTCTTATCAATTGGAAGACTTCGACAAGATTGTTATAGCTCGCATTTGGAACTTAGAAAAGAAAACTTGAGGATGTATTACCAATGGAAGGCATTGAACTTGATAGCGTCCATAAGCCTTGTACTCAAATCATTTGCTTGCAATGGCATCCTCATAGTTCTCTCAACTTGTTTGCAAATATATAATGTTGCTAAACACTAATAACATTATACACACTGAGCACTAATCACACGCACACTGACCTTGTTGAACACTAATGGCATCAAATATTGACCTTAAATTGAGCCTAATTTGGGTAAGGCATGGAGGAATGGCATCCCAACCACCCATGGCTCGAGGATAACCAATTCAGTCTTTGCCAAGCACCGGGTTAATATAGCCTCAAATGATCAAAGACCAATGGAATAGAGCCCTTGGTCCCAAACCAAGGTTGGCCAAGCCAACCAGAGATTGATGGCTAGCCCAAATAACTATGATAGGTCCATGTATGGGCTCTTAGCACAACCTCACGTAACCAAGCTTCCACACTTGGTTTATAAACAATCATGATCTTCCTTGTAATGCCATCTCGGAACTATGAGAGCCCAAACACCTAGGGCATACCTTAACCTGAGCTAGCACAACCCAACCCCTAAATGTAAAGACCCCGGTCCAGCTGGTGAACAAATCAGGTCATGACCGATATAAAGAGAGGCCTCAGCCCAATTTGAAGCAAGTCAACACAGGATGGAAGAGAGTAAAAGTGGAAGAGAATGCTGAAATTAAACAAATTCTCTATTCATATCTTTGCATGTTCAGATTTGCAATGCAAACGAATGCGGCCTTAAACAAAAAACAAAAATATGTTGTTTAAATCAAGAATTCAAGAACACATTTTTGTTTCAGTTCTGGAAACAAAAAGCACATGTATACCCAAGAATATGTTTCTGAATTTTTTGTTTTAAGAATCAATTTTCTTTTAGACTAGATGGTTTTGATTTGTCCTTAAAACTAGTGAAAAAGTATATAATAAAAGAAATATTATCTAAAGCTCACCATGACTTTTCAAAACTTACAAATAGATCCCTACAAGTGAGTTTTATTGTCCAAGACTCACCTTCCGTTAAGATTTCAATTAGATCACAGTTAGTGATAATTAATAGAAATTGTCCACATAATCATTCCAGTATTTTATTTGACCAAACTACCCCTGAATGGCCAGTCAAGCTTATTAAATATTTTTCATAACAAAATTACCTCTGACTCAAGCTCGGGTCCACACCAGGCCCACAGCAGTCAGGGGTAATTTTGTTATAAAAATATTTAATAAGGCTGATTGATCATTTAAGGGTAGTTTGGACATGTAAAATAGTTAAATGCTCACATAAACAATTTCCATTAATGATCTCTAACGGAAATCTTAATGGAAGGTGAATTTTGAACAGTAAGACTCAAGGACAAGGGGCTCTTAATTTGGGGGGTTTTGAAAAATCATGATAAATTTAAAAGAGAAATCCCATAAAAGTCATGGTAAATTTAGATATATATAATGTCAAAAAATAAAATAATTTACATTGAATAACTGTCCCTAACATATAGTAAGTGATGAAATAATAAAGGGTTCTACTATGATATAGAAAAAATATGATATCTGAAATACTTTTGATCAGTCAACTGGAATAATAAATGTGATAGCCAATCAGGTGTTATTTATCAAAATTCATGGGTGAATTTTGATTGATCAAAACTCTTCCCATACCATATCTTTTCTGCATCATCAATTTTCCCAATAATAATATATCTGAATTAAGGAGGGCGTGGTTTTGTTGGGTGGCAGACTATTATTGGTGCAATGCCAGTGATGAGTGCCGGTGCATGTGCGAAGGCTATAGTGAATGGAGCATGCCGTGGAGATCGGTACCTGACTGTTCCATCTTGGTACAGGGTGGCCTTCCCATTCCAATTCTTTTGTGCAGAGCTGGTTGCATTCTGGTCTCGGATGGATTCAAGATCTACTTATAACAGCTGAAGTTTCTTAGCTAAATGGCTTATTGCTTTGTCTTTTAATCGATTAAGTATTTAAATAGTAAAATATTAAGGGTATAATTCGGCCATTAAGATCCTTAAAAACTTATTGGCTGAAAGACAAAGCAATAAACTATCAAGTTCAGCTATTTCAGCTGTTACCAAACGACCCCTTAGATTAAAGTATACTGATTTGTGTCTTTAAATTAATATAAATAAATAAAAAGAGGAATGGTTGTCTTCCTTTATTATTTTATTTATCAACATCCTATGCTTCCTTTATCAAACATTCTCCTGTACTTCAATATCATTCCATACTTTTAATCCCATGCTTCTTCCACGGTGCAATGAACTAGTTTCCTCTAATATGTACTCAGAAAAACATTTTATTCTTAGGGTGTGTTTTTCAAGATTAAAACAGCTATCACATCAACAAAAACAATATGATCTTGATGTACGTTGCAGTTGCTTTTGTTTTGAAAAGTACCATTATACATATTAGTGAACATTCCTTAATATCTAAATTCATAAATGTTCTCCAATGGCAGTGATATAAAACTGTTAGGGCTCACTCACACAAAATATTATAAATTGATCAAACCGACTAAATGGAACCGGCTTGACCCTATAAAACTTTTGGTCAGTTTTGGTTTAGATAATGGTAAAACCCAAAGATAACGGTTCAATTGCCCAATCAAACCGACTTGACCCAAGAAATGATTGCTAATAAGGATCCTCATACACTTGTATGAAATAGTTGTTTTTATCACTTTGAATTTTGTTATAGATAATAGAAGATTTCTTATAAGCAATAGGCTCTTCATTAAATATTGGAAGACATTCCCAGTCAACATCTTCTTCCTCAATAGTTATCATTGATGAGAATAGCTACTTCAAGGCTTACTCCAATAATAAAGTTGGACTGGTATAGTTATTTATAGGAGGTTATTCAAGAAGCCTTCATAAGATCACCTTCATCATACATTGATTTTTTCACAAAGATGAGCATTTCGAACTAGAGTCCGATGTGTTGATTTTCAACTTGGCCCTTTTAACATTTGGATGCATTAAGTAGCTTCTCTAACTAATATTGCTTCGCATATAACCTTCCATAAAAAGCTCTAATTGATAAACTGTTTATTGTGTTAGAAAATAGATTTGAAGAGCTTTCTAATAATATATAGTATGCATTATTTATGAAGAATTCATTGCTGAAATTGGGCCATTATTTTTTAAAACTACAACATTGTTTTTAATTAAAAAAAAATAACGGAGTAATGAACTTGCAAGTTCTTACTCAATCTTCTTTAATACCAATTGTTGTAGCTTAAATCATTAAGAAAGAAAACAAAAGAATTTCTCAAAGGAGTAAGAGAAAAAAGAGAAAATAAATAGAATTTCATTACTCAAATGTGGATTATAATGAGACAACAAATTTGGCGACTCACACAAAAAGGGGAAGGAGACTCGCTCATCCAAAGAAAAGAGGACTTGCTTAAGAGAAGAATCTCTCTACTCTTGAAAGAAAGTTCTAAGCTTAACAAAACAAAGGTATGAACTTGGATGCCTCATACTTAAGATTAAATGGCTTTATTTAGAGAAACAAACACTAGCTACTGTAACATTTAATGTAAGAACTGTTAGAAATCTTGACCAAAATAACTATTGGAAACCCATTAGTGAGCTTAAATGTATGTATGGCTCACTTGTCTTATTTTTTGATAATGATTTGGTGCTTCTTGGCAAGGTTCAAAGTATTAATCTGTATTGACCGATATGTATTGTGCCAATGGCTTTCCGATATGCCCCTCCAGGGGTTGTATCGGGTCAGACCATGGTTCAGAGGGTAATTGGGCCTTAAACTGACCCCTCTGAACCGGTTTTGAAAAAAATAAATAAATAAAACTTAAAAAAAATATACCAATACAGGCCGATACACCCTACTGGCTTGTGTCAAAACTTTGAACCTTTCTTCTTGGAATATAATTTTAAACTACACTAATTTTCCCACTTTATCAATTACATTTCCAAGGAGTATTTCCATGTCTTGTAAAATAGATTTTCTGATACTCTTCTACGATATAAATAGTTCGAACCTTGCTATAGAGTTGCAAATTTTGGTCTTGTGGCAATAAAGCCAATATGGTAAGTTTGCTTAAGTGCGGCCCGCTACTGTTACTTATAAAAGTTATTAGTGTGTTGTGTTAAAATACATAAAAAGAAAAAGCAATAAAGTCAATAACTGAAACGTGTTCAACTTTACAACTTTGTATCTGCAAAATGCAGAGTACAAGAATAAAGCATAGATTTTGCAACATTTGAAGATTACAATGACAATAGGCACATAAATGGGAAATAGGCTTATTGTAAATATATTGGTTGCTGTAATGTATATAGAAAGTAAACATCCTAATTCTAGTACATAGACCGTATCTCTACTGCCTAGGCCATTACAATGACAATAGACACATTTGAATGCATCCTTTTAGCTCCAAGCAAACCCGGGACAGCCAACTAATACCTCATTTGTCATGTACAGCAATAGGAATACAGCTTTCTTGATGTAGAACTTTTACATGGTCGTAAAAATGATTTTACAATCTCTCTCTCTCTCTACATCATCTGTCGTTAAGGGTGTATTGGACGGCCGAACCTCTAAGGCTCTGGTGCCACTCCCATGGAAAGGATACCTAAGTCCCCTGTGCCACTCCCAAAACCAGTATAAGTCAACCTAAATTAATATGAAGCAATATGAAAGACAAGTAACAGAAGAAATGCCTCGATGAGATGTGTTTAAACCATATGTGAACCATCATGTTGATCATTAGCCTTTCCAGTATCCAATAATTTCTGCATGGCATAGTGGCATCTGGAATTGTAAAAACGAAGCCAAAATAATTAAATCATCACTAAAAGCACTTCCACCCAAAATTCCTTCATTATTGGCATGTTAGAATCATATGCAATTTTTGAAAAAAACAAAAACCATTTCAAATGTGCAAGATGATTTTCTTAATCCACAAAAAATTTTGTGCGTGTGCATGAGCATGAGTGCAAATTTTCTAAATCTGTCTTTCGTGTCTGCATATGTAGGTGGGTGGGTGTGTATGAGAGAGAGAGAGAGAGAGAGAGAGAGACCTCCAGGGAAGATGGTCTAGGAACATAAATGGTGACACATTTATATCCTTGAAGTTTTCCCTGTTTGCAATATAAGCTCTGTAACGATGACCACTGTCATGAAATCTCCAGCCTCTCCACAAGGACAAATAATTTCCAGTTTGTTCTGGTACTATATGAATAATAAGGCCAGGTAGGTAAGCCTCCTGAGGACCTCTTGTTTGTGTATTCGATGAAGATACATGGTCCATAAATGCAGACACGGGATTTTCACATAAAACTCCATCAGCAGAATTCTCAAAGCATGGAGGTGAGCAGTTAGATTCGTCAGGATTATCATTTAGAATGGCAGCATCTGAATTGCTAATGAGGTCAGTTGCTTCCTGAAATGTCAAGTCTTTGTCCTGTTCAGAATTCCCTGCAGGTAACCCAGAAGGCTTGTCATCAGAAACACCATCTGCTTTTAAAATTACTCCCAGTAACAACGTTCATTACCATACCTAGGGATGGCAATGGGGCGGGTTCGGAGAGGGTTTTGTAAATTCTATACCCTACCCGCCTCCCTAAACCTCCCAACCTGTACCCGCCCCAAAACCTGTAGTGGGTTGGATTTTGAGAATCTAAACCCTACCCACACATGAAAATGCAAAATCCTCCCCGACCCCAAGGGTAGGGGCAGATTGGCTTTAGAACCCACATCTAATTTTCTTTTTTTTTTATTATTATATAAGCAATAAATAAGTAAAATAACACAAATAAACAACAAAATTTCCAATTATTTGATTAAGACATATAAAAAACACATAAACTATCGATTATCCTTCACATAAAATTCAAAATATTGTTGAATTCAACACCTAGTACATAAAGCTTATATGCTTTCCAACAATATGCAGGTTAGGGAGGATCAGGTTTATCCTAATATTGTACCCTACCTGCACCCATATGGGTTGTAGAATCCCAAAACCCGCCCTTCAAGCAAAACAAACCCACCCCATCGGGGCAGGTATCCAATGGTAGGGTAGAAATTTCCATCCCTAACCATACTTTGCATGACAGCTGTGGTAATAACTAGGCATTTTCAACATGCATAGAATTGCATGAGTACATAGACAAACCCCACCTTTAATAGTATATTTATAGGATTTTCTCTTGTACATTTGGTAATACTGTACCCTACCCGTACCCATATGGGTTCTAGAATCCCAAAACCCATATTTCAAGAAAAAACACCCACCCCATCGAGGCGGGCATCTACTGGTAGGGTAGAAATTGCCATCCCTAACCATACTTTGCATGACAGCTGTGGTAATAACTAGGCATTTTCAACATGCATAGAATTGCACGAGTACATAAATAAACCCCACCTTTAATAGTATATTTATAGGATCTTCTCTTATACATTTGGTGATTGTTGTCCTCAGATGTCACAATTCCAGATGGTGAAGGAGTGGAAATCTTAACTTCCTGCCCACCACTTTGGTACTTGCTTACATGCAAAATTTTATTGGCAAGCCTACAAATCATTGCTGAATTAGCTGCAGGATCTTCAGATAATGCCTGGATAGCAGCTGCACGAAGTCTCAGGATTGATCTAACAGAAAGGCGTGAAGAAAATTCATCATTGTATACAATGCTGCAAACAATAAAAGCCTCATTCTATCAGTTTCTTTGCAAAATAATAAGCAATTAAGATTTCAACTATAAACAATATATCTTGTAAGTGGTAAAAGAAAAGTTCAACATGCTTACCAAAAGTATACTGATCTTAAATAAGTGAAAAGCAAGAAAATCCAATAAATGTAAGAATTGCTAGCCTTGAGATAATCACCTTGTAATAAAGTCTTGACATGCTTCTCCTATCACTGGATCAACAAATGGAAGTGGCCCATAAGAGTACACATGCAAGTTTGGATATCGGTGATACAACTGTTAAGAAGGGAGAACCATCATGAAACTTGAGTTCAGTAAATTTGAAATTATGCAGCACAATTAGCACAAAACAGACCCAATATTCTCTCTTAGTCAATCTAGTTCTATAAATTGATCAAGTTCAATAAATCTAATGTAACCTGTGAAATATGTTAATGCAGTAGCATGCATTTGGTTAGATCAGTTTGAGACTCTTTGGAAGGCCAACAAGAAGCTAAAAGATCTGAAGAAAAGAGAGAAATGGTCTGAAAAGACTTTTGGCCTCATTCTTATCTTTAAGGAAATTTACATTACTTGTGGATGGAGACTAAAAGTGGGATCTACTTAAGATACAATTTTCATTGAATTTGCTGGAGTCATAGGAACAAGTTTTCTGGAAATTTACTGTTGTTAATAATTTACTATTTATGGCATGTTTTGAACTTACTATTTATAGTAAACCTCGTGATTACTAGTTTTAGTAAATTCGTGCTTTACTCTTTTTAGTAAGTCTTTAATCAAATTAAGCTAGAATTCTTCTTATTCTAATTAAGGATCTCTCTTTTTGTTTACCCTAACAGCAAGAGAGAGTTTACCTAACTCTTTCTAATTTCTTACTCATTCTTTGGACAGCAAGCATACTTACTTTTCCATCCACATTCTTCTTCCTCAATCACCCGCAGCCCCTCTCATTCATGCCACAAAGCCTACCATCAGATCTTAAATTAGTAGGACCCCTACCCTGTCCTACATCATATGTGGGGTATGGTGTATTACCGTAGATCTTAGAATGTGATGAATGACAACTTTTGGCAACCAAAAGCAGGTTCCATTTAGAAGTGATTCACCTGCAACACGTTCTCATTTTATAGAGCTTAACACTTAACAAATTTTCTAATTTTTGTAGGAATGAGGAAAGGTTTTCAGAAACAAACTTTGCCTTTTCAAAAATGCTTGTACAACTCCATCATAAACTAGAAGGCACTGTTAGATAGCTTTAAATACCTAGATAGGGATTTTTGAAATAGACGGAAATTATAAAACTAGAAGTAGGATATTTTTTTCCACTTTTATTTAGGGTCCCATGGTATCCTTTAGGTGTTATGTACTGTTAATTTTCTGTAATTTGATTAGAACTTCATGGATTGGTTCCTTTTCTTTTCAGTCTTTGGTCAAAGGTCAACTTAGTACTTTTAGTATATTAGGCTAGTATTCCCCCCCACCCAATGCCAGTATATAAATACTTGTAAACTGTTGGCAATATAGAGGTTAATGAAACTAGATTGTTCGTTGCGGCAATCTTGGGTTGTATGGTGCAACTTCTTCGAGTGATTCCTGAATACTATAAATTATTTCTTAGAACTCTATTGGTAGCATGGTAGCAACCATGCTACCACAATAAGGTTCTCATGGTCCCACTTCTTAGCATCTGGACCTTCCGATCTAGTAGCCTTCCCTGTAAGGTACCTCAGTTTATTTCTACCTCCAATATAGATCTTCACGAGTTAAGACCATTCCAAAAAAAATGCTTCTATTAAGCTTAATGATGGTTATAGAGAGGTTGGACCCATCAGCAATCCCTCCTATAATAGTAGAATGATTGGGTGAAGAACCTATGCTACTCAGAGTGGATGCTAACACTCTAGAGTCTAGACTATTCAAATGTAGAAACAAGGGTGCTAAAAACAATGGAGACAAAAATGTAGCTGCAAAACCCCAAAGTTCACAAGATATGCCTTTTAGGAATCATTAATAGGTCATTCAAGAGTGCATGTTTGGACATAGCCAAAGAGAAACCATAATTCAATATACACCAAGAACAATCAGCCGTTTGAAGAAAAACTCCAGATTCAGATTTCTAAGCAAAGAAGTCAAATCTGCAATTTCTACGATTTTCTCCATTTTTGCACAAAAAGAATTTGAGAAAATTATCAACTAAGCTGCACATGTAGCTCAAACATGTACCGTAATTCTTCTATTATCCTGATCTAATAGGATCTAGGGTTTTATTTGACTGGTCAACACCACCCATACGATTATTGACATCGCACCTGGCAACCTCGACCTTCTGTTTTATCTTGATGAGTTCTGCTTTGATAACAAGTTCGAAACCAATAAATAGAAAAAAATGTTGGTAGAAGAAGAGAAAGAAGAGAGAGAGAGAGAGAGAAAGAGAGAGACGAAGAAATAATGTTTTGCAAAAATTGAATGTCTTAGCCTAAGTAGGCCAGTCATCCCCTTATTATTTGATATTATCAATAGTACAATATTGCCCATAACATCCATTACATACTTACAGCCTATTGTGTAGTCTTAAAGATGTTCCTTCACCTACATTACTTTATGCAGACAATACTAGTGTTATTCATATCTCATATCACCCCAGATTTGAATAGCAAACTGAGAACATTGAGGCGGACTGTAACTTTTTTTTTTTTATCAGAAAAGTTATTTTATTAAATTGATTAAAGGTGGACTAGTAAAATTTGACTACAGGAGTGTAATCCCCAGATACACAAGCATGTTCTGAAGTTGATATTTTCACCAAGGACTCTTTGGTTTGCACCAAATGGACATCTGAGGTCTGAAAAGTCATATTTCCAGACATCCCAAACAATTTGTTACATCTGAATTTAGACTCTTAATTTTAAAGATTCCTCTTAGTGGCTCAGATGTCCATCTGCCTCTTAATTAGCAAAGTTGTGTTTTATAACTTTTTCTTCAAAAATGACCTCTCAATTTGATAGAAATGCCCACACTATTTACTCTTACCTAAAATTCTACCACTCTCTCACATAGTTTTCAAGGCACCAAGGCAAGGCTAGGCAACCATGGGGCACCCAGGCGCCTAGGCGATGGAATTTAAAAATAAGGNTTTTTTTTTTTTTTTTTTTATGTATTCTGCACTTACTTTTGTGCTTGTATTTCTTGCAATGTTGCTTCAAGTAGGAAAAACAATATATTAGAGTTGCAACTTACAAGTTAGAAGTTAGAACTTGAAAGAACTGAAGGGGGCGGAACCCCTATTTTAGATCAACAATACATAGGAAACAAATACTAAAATAAAAGAAAATGAAAAAGAAAAGTAGGGGGAGGAGCCCCTGTTCTAGACCTAAAAAATCTGGTGAAAAAATATTAAAATAAAAGAAGAAATATGAAGAAGAAAAGAAGGGGTGGAGCCCCTGTTTCAGAAACCAATGGTGAGAACAAAAAAAAGCTGAAAAATGCAAGAAATTAAGAATAAAAGAAAGGGGTGGAGCCCCTGTTCTAGACCCAGAAAATCTGGTGAAAAAATACTAAAATAAAAGAAGAATATGAAGAATAAAAGAAGGGGAGAGCCCCTGTTTCAGACACCAATAATGAGAAAAAAAAAGTTGAAAACATGCAGGAAATTTAAGAACAAAAGAAGGGGGCGGAGCCCCTGTTTTAGTCCAATAAAATGATTCCAAAAACTTGGAGAAAAGATACAAAAAGGAAGAGGAGAAAAATGGGGCGTAACCACTGTTTTAAACCAGGAAACAGAGAACAAAACTAAGAAGAAGAAGAAGAAGAACTGTGTGGGAACGATGGAGGGCTGTTGTTCTCTCCTCTTCCTCACTTCGATTCTATTGTCAAAGTGAAACCCTTGAAGATTAATTTTGTTTTTACTTTCCTCAAAACAAAAGCATCATAACATGCAATAGGTTCTATTATAAAAACTAAAACAACCAATAAAATATTATATATTTTATATTTTTTTATTTAATAAATATTTATATAGTATATATTTGCTTCAGCCCCCTAAGCATATGCCTAACATAGTTGGCGTTTGGGCGAGACGTTCTTTGAAAAGAACCTAGTCGCCTTGACAACTATGCTCTCTCACCTCTTTTGCTTCTCTTTTACTTACTATTTACTCTTACCTATGTTGTTTCATGTAAGAATCAACTAGCTAACTAATTACTAACAGTTTAAATTCAGGGTAGTGTTAAAATTAGTGTTCAGAATATTAGTGTTAAGTGTCTATGATGCACAAGGGTAGTTATAACATTTTACAAACATTATTAAGTGATCATCTTTTCTCTCCTTTGTATATTATTTTGTAAGTAAAAACAGCATGCAATAGATGAAGTAGCACCATTTGAAGTTAACAAACCATACCTGAATTCCCAATAATGCAGCAATTGAACCACCTAGGGAATGCCCAACAACGTAAATTTTGTACCCGAAACATTCACATCCAGCTCCCATCAATGATGAAAGAAGTCCAGTGGCTTCACGTAGATTATCTGTAAATCCATTTATTCCAAATAGTCACTATAAGAAACGAATGTAAAGATCAAAGTTTTAATGTAGTAACACAATTTTCATAGATAAAATAGTCACAACATGAAATTCAATGTAAGAACTTGTTTTTCAGCATTCCTATTAGAATTACATAAGAAAATATACTTTTTTTGTTCAGCAACACAAATGATTTCATCAACTATAGAGAAAATAATTACAACAAGATGTTGTGGAAAAAGAGGAAAAAAAACAGCTTCAGAAAAGCTGACCCAACCCAAGAATTACAATTGAGCCCAATACAAGGAAGTTCTTTGTACACCTTGCTTATCTAAACCATCTGCTTGACTGTTGGTAGTTCTCCTAGCCCATTTAACTTGGATTGTCATGTCTTTTGACAACCATTAAAATTGCTTGAGTTCATTTCTTAGATGCCATGGCACCTCCTCCCCCTTCTTCAGCCAGTTTACAACAGTTCTTGAATCACCTACAACAGTTCTCGAACCACATCACCTTGTTCAGCTGGTCCTGAGTATAAGGCTATGATGTTTCCTTCCTCATCCCTAATGACCTCTCCTATGCCCAAGGGGCCCGAATTGCCCACACAACTACCATCAAAATTCATTTTCTTCCAACCACAATTTGGAGTTCACCACTCAACTATTTTTTGTCTTCGGGATGATGAGGCAGACACACCAACACTTGAAGAAGTCCTCAACCTTAAAATAAAGTTTCAAACTTTTAGTCCAGTCTACTACTCTTAGATTTGACTTCTACCAGAGCTTCCTTACTTCTTTCTTTATCTTCAAAAATTCTTAGATTCCTTTCCTCCCAAACTGTCCAAAGCCCATTGCTCTAGTCCATCTCCCCGAAATCCTGCCCCACCTTTTAGTATAGCTAAAGATAGTAGAGCTAAACAATCCTTCCAAACTATTAGGAGAAGACCATCTACATCCAAAAAGAGAAGAAAACCAATTCCGAATGAAGCTAACAAAAGGACTGGAGATTAAGAGATGAAAAGTAGTCTCACCATTTAAGTTACAAAGAAAGTACTAGTTGGGGGACAAACACCAGTTTGGTCCTTTTCTTTGAAGCAAGTCAAAGGTATTAATACAGCCATGAAACACTTCCCAACAGAAAGCACTGATTTTTTGGGGATTGGAAAACACCAAACTTCCTTGACTAGGAAAGAAGGAGAAGGGGAGGTGGCTACTAGGGAATTAAAGAAAGACTTGCAAGAGAACAAACCGTTAGGGTTAAGGCCCAAACGGCCAAACCCTAGAATCCAAGCTACCTTCTCCCAGGACCATTGAATTCAGCAAACACAATAGCTTAGACACACTAGGAATTTCAGAATCTCTTAAGGTTTTTGTCGAAACCTAAGTTCCAGTTTAGCCCTGAAGGAGAGTGCTAGCCAAAAAAATCAAACCCAGGTTTACCCTTAATACTGGAAAGAGATAAAAGTGAAGGAAAGCTCTCCCTTAGAGGGATATCCCCGATCCACACATCCTCTGAAACCGAACTTTTTGACCCGAAGCGAAATCATACCTAACATGATTGAGGAAAGTAGGAAGTATATCATGAATGGCTTTTCAAGGAGTGGCCAGAGTAGCTCTAACCTCTAAGGAGACAACCGACATCCCATTTGTTGCTTGACATGCCATGAATACTTGCAACAACTTTGTGCCACAACCTCTCATTTTCTTTGGAGAACCACCAAACCCGTTTACTAAGCGAAGCCAAAATTTTCAACCTAACATTACCAATTCCCAAGCCCCCTTTCTACCTTTAATTTAACCACCTTTTCCCATCTTACTAGATGATATTTCTTTCTTTCCCCTGGATTCCAAAGAAAATCTCTCATGATTTTTAATTTTCCGCACTACCTTTTGGGGCATCTTAAACACTAAAATGTAGTACACTGGGAAGTTGGAGAGGATGGACTTAATAAGAGTTAGCCTCCCCCAATGAAATATAGATCCTCTTCCACCTCTTCTCCACCCTCTCCACTACTAAGGTCCAAAAACTAGCAGATCTATGGTTGTCACCTAAGACTAACCCTAAGTATTTCATAGGCCACTCTCCCTCTCACAACCTAAAGAATCTGCCATAGTTCTCAAGTCATCTCCTTCATATTTTCCACCCCATCACAAGAAAGAAAAGACACCATTTGCAAACTGCAAAGGGGTAATCAAGATGCTATCTCTCCCAATTGACCACCCTCTAGACAGATGCAAACTATTTACTCTTGAGATTAACTTACTTAACACTTCAGCCACCAAAGTAAAATGAAAGGAAGAGAGAGGGTTGCCTTGTCTGAGTCCACAGACAAGGCAAGTCCCCAAAGTCATATATCAACTAAGGATAGCTAAGGATAGCTACGTAATGACTAGTTTGTAAGCAATCTTTAATCCATTTACACCACAAGTCCCCAAAGTCATATATCAACTAAGAAATTCCAATCCACCAAATCAGTCTTTCTTCAAATCCAATTTGATTGCCACTCCCTTCCTCTTTAACCTCTTTTGGACCTCCACACATTCAATAGCAATCAAAATTTTATGAACTATTTTCCTATCTTGAATAAAATCCCCTTGAAATTGCAAAATAAGTGGGGGAATCACCTTCTTTAAGTCTCAAAGACCACCTTTGCAATTACCTTGTAGATATTGGTGACTAGGCGAAGAGGTCTAAAATCCCTTGGTTGGCTAGCATTACTCTTCTATGGGACCAACATAATGAAAGTAGAGTTCATACTCGGACTAATGATACCTCTTCTATGAAACTCACTAAAAACTCTGAGCAAGTAAGCTTTGATTATGTCCCAACAATCTTGGTAGAAGGCCATTGTAAAACCATTAGCTTCAGAGCTTTTGATCCATCCAATAAAAAAACTTCCTTAAATTGATCTAAAATGATTCGAGAATGCCTTATCGGTTCTACTTTGGTCAGTAATCTCATTTTTCCTTAACATTAGGCACCGTTTGGTTTGTGGGAAGATTTGGGTGGGATGGAAAAAGATGGGATGGGATGGGATGGGATGGAAAGTATAAAAATTTAACTTTTCTGTGTTTGGTTTTACTGGGATGGGATGGGATGGGAAAGTACTGTTCACCTTCCTCAAGAACTTCACGAACAGAGGCACAGCTTCAGGAACTTCACGAACAGAGGCACAACTTCAGGAACTTCACGAATAGAGGCACGACTTCAAGAACTTCACAAACAGAGGCGACTCTCGCCAGGAACTTCACGAACAGAGGCGACTCTCGCCAAGAGCTTCGCCAGGAACTTCACGAACAGAGGCGACTCTCACCAGGAGCTTCGCCAGGAACTTCACGAACAGAGGCAACTCCCATTGAGCCCGTCAGAGTCTAAAGAGGAAGAAGAGAGAAGGTGGAGGGAGAGAAGACGAGGGAGAAGAGAGAAGAGGAAGACAGAGTCGCACTGAGAAAGGGAGACAGGGACAGAGAGAAGAGGAAGACGAACCCAGGGACAGAGACGAGACTAACGTCTGTTCGTCGTCGCTGAGAAAGGGAGAAAGGGAGGAAGACGGAGTCGCACTGTTTCTCTCTTTCCTCTTCGTTGTCTCTGGTTCACTTTTCTTGGCCTTCCCTCCTCTTTTCATCATGATGGTAAGTGGTAACAGTGATTTCCCAGTTTTTCCACTAGGGTCGCACTGTTTTGGTGTGACCCTGATTCCATGATTTTGGAATCTGCCATCCCACGTCTTTCCCATCCCTCTTTTTCTCTCAAACCAAATAAGAGAAAAGGGAATATTTTTGGAATATTCCCTTTTTCTCATCCCTATCCCACAAACCAAACGGAGCCTTAAGGATGTAATAAGGCTTTTTCTCCTTGTACCATTTGCAATGACATGGAAAAATCTTGTATTACCATTTCCTTCCTTGACCCACCTCTCCCTAAACTTATGCTTTCAACTTATTTCCTCTCTTAATAATGTCTCCCCTAGCTCCTTCAAGGACCATATCAACTCCCTATCACCAACTACTAAGAAACCCTCCAATTCTTTCTTATCAATTTCCACAATTTATCATATCAAAGTAGTCTTTTTCTCCTCTAATCATCCAAACTTCTCCCTATTCCAATTTCTAATTTTCTTTTTCAACAATTGTAGTTTCTTTAGGAATTTTTGCCCTCCCAATTTGATATCTGATTAAGGTTATTCCACCAAGATTTGACCTTCTCTTTGAATTCCGGGTGAGTAAGTCACATGTTCTCAAACCTAAAAGGTATTGGGCAACCATCAATGAACCTCTGAAATAAACAAATGGGTCAGCGATCTAAGGTAATTCTAGGAAGAGTTCTCCAAAATAAACATGTCCAATGCTCTTCCCAATCAAGTGACACTAGAAATCTATCAATCTTAGAACAAATGGGATTATCTTGAAGGTTTGACCAAGTATAGAAAGACGAACCCAATGGAATGTCTCTCAACTCAAAGTCTATGTTTTGTATTTCTCCACTTGTATTCTTTCCAAACCCAACTTATTCCTCCTTCCCCTTATTTAGTTCCTTTAAAAAAATCCCACCTTTAGTTTTCTTCTAGAATCGTATATCCTTCAAAATCCCTTTTTCCCAATCTTGCTTAACCCTTCACTAGGTACTACATCTCCCTTAGTTTCCTTCAACCTTTCCCCCCAAACTTAGAAGCGATCGTCCCTCCTCTATTTCTAATTGTTTCTTCACCATCTACTCTTCCTTCTAAATCGATTAGAGTTTCTCCTTCTACAAGCACTAACAAGGGCACACTAGAGCCATGGACGGGACTTGAAATATCCATAGAACCAATAGGGTAGATATTAGTATCAAAAACTAAACCAACATTGTTACATTAGTTTCCTCTAGTGGTTCCCCAAACCCTTACAGTCAGTTTTGTCCATTTGGGAAGGACTCAGACTTGTAGTAACCCGGATCAACTCTAGTATTGTTCCCCTAGTCAGATTTTCCAACAAAGTTTCCTAGTTCCCCTACCAATTCACTGCTT